TTCACCCTTCCGCTTGGGGCTCATCAGCTAGGCGCAGTCCCCGAATTTCCGTCAACCTAATGATCTACTTGAACCCAAATTCGACGGTTTTCGAGAAGTACACTCATTTGTAAATCAATTTGGTTTTTTCACGTGAGGCTCAACTGAATCTCTCGTTTATGATATTCTACAACTGAAGGTGCTCACACAGGCCGCCTCATGATTCAGATGGCGAACGTGAGTTGGGAATGATAGTGAATAAACACTGCTCAGTCGATGGCCGTGTGAAGTGGTCGTAACGTAACGTAGCAATTGACATTTGAACTAAGATACAGTATTTGGATATTTATTTGCCGACCTGATTGGAAGGGTCAGAGAATGAAAATCCGAAAGGGGGAACCTGAGGACACAGGTTCTATAGTCCCTCAACCTTTTCGGTTTCTCGGCATAGTTTGACGAAACTCACAGGACAAAAAATTTCGATAGAAAAGCTTCCAGATCTCCTCATACTATCAACATGTTCCACAAAGATGTCTTTGAACCCCTCCCTGGTGCCATACTTTTGGTGATTCACAACATAAGGTGAAACAGATGTGATTTTAAATTTACTTCCACGATGAACTGAAACCGATTTTACCTCTTTCCATTCCACTGCACTTCCTCCCATACAGATATTTTATTCTTTACCAGAATCTGCTTTTCTACTATGATTGCGAACGGGCCGAGAGACCTTCTGGTGTGGCATTTTTGGAAAGTTCTTACTGCGAGCCTATCGTCAACCTGCGAAGCAGTCGAGATGAACGTCTCGGAGGACAACAAGGAGTAAGTTGTGCATCTGGTGTCCAGTTGTTCCCACATCAATGTCTGAAATTCAATAAAGAAGTGATTGGTTGTCAAACCACCAGATTCCGTCAACAAGAGACCATAATAAGTAGTTATCGTTCAGCTGTAACACCTTTCCAGTGCCTAGCTACCATGCCAACCGAAGAAAGCACGAGGGCTGGGATACTGCCAGGTTGCCCGTGCCTAGACAGGAGAACTTGAGACGCAGAGGTCGGGTTCGAACCACGGACCTTCCGGTCAGTAAATTCGCGCTCTAACCACTTGAGCTATCTCGCCAATTAGAGACACCCAATAGACCATAAGACTTTACGAATATTTTTTTCTAGTTAGTACCGATCGTCAGATTAGAAAGCAGCCAGCACGTGGACTAAACCGACTACCCAGAAATCATTAATCTTACTCGGTAAAAGTTAAACATGAAATCTTCTCTTTCGTACATAGAATACCCTATACTGCGACTGGTCATTAAGGGAAGAAAGTTCCCGGAAAGATGTATGTTTCAGAAACAATATCAGCTACCCACAGAGTTTCAGAACGTTGGGACACCAGGTACGATCTTACTGACAACCGTTCCTGAGACAGCCCAGCCATTCAAGATAAGTTCCCCGTTTTTATGCTGTCCACAATAGGTTCTTACTCTTGGTCTCTAGTCTATGGTACCACTACATTACCAACTCACGTGACCAATCGATTGGATCGGTGACAGTGCATAACCTCATCATATACCGGAAGCAATATGGCTCTCACTTCACCTCACCTTTTCAATAACAAGTAGTTCTCTCAAGTTGTCAGCAGTGAGTGGAGATCAGCGAAGGTAAACCCGGTGTGGAAGACGATGAGTTATGTTTGGTTAGATTGTTCAACTACATGTTGTTCTTCTAGAGTCTAAAGTAGAACAAAATTTAGTTCAGAAACTCTCTCACACATACAAACACTTAGGAAACCTTCCTGATTTGGCGCTGTGCTTTTGAAGGAACACAAATAATTTTTAAACAATATTGATCGGGCTAATTCCACAGCAGCCACCACAGATCGATACATCGACTTCTTGGAGGACCGGCAAAATTTTTGAAATGTACCGGGCCCCAGATCCAAGTGTCGTTTTCAAAACAGAACAGAATAATTTATGAATGAGATCGACAGATACTGAAGGGCACTATTTTTAGACTTCGGTTGGGATCCAGCATGTTTCAGGGTTATTTCCCTTTCTTCAGCTGCCTCGTAAGCCCGGTGATCACCAGTTCATTTGACTGCTAGCAGTTGCCGTCTTATGATTTCAAGGTTGAGTTCGTTTGAAGACTTCAGTTCTGAGTTGTCAAGTAAGTAGGTATTTTCGGTGTTCTACTCAGTGTTGCGTCCGTACTTCGTGGCCGTTGGAGAAATCCGTAGCAAGCCATATGCCAGACAGGTTTAAAGTTTTCATGCACCTGTCATTCTGATGCCAACTACTTGTTTAACGTTATCCTGCATATTCAAATGCCACGTCAAGAATCGCCTCTTTTTGGGCTTCCAGCGCGTTGAGTAATAGTCGTCTATAATGTCCATTGCCGAGGTGTTTTCTTAAAGCCTCGTCGTCCCTGATAAGTTCTGATCAATGTGGCTTCAACGAACTCCAAATCCATCTAGTGGCCTCCTTGTCGCTAAGCTGTGGAAAGTCGAGCCGAGTTCAGTTCTGTGACCTGTGTTGGTTAGATATTTAGCGACCGACGCTTTGAACCTGGAATCGATCAGCAATGCGCCTGGGTCAGTTGACATAATATGGAGTTTTGACGCGTGCGCACCTCCTCGCTCGTGTTTCATCTCTCATATCAGTTCCAACGACATACTACTTATCCCTGCAGGTGAACTGATAAATACTAAATGTGTAGACGAAACTGAATTCGACATTTTGATTGAGGACAGTTGTGTGTGCGACATTCGCTATCGCACAAAATTATGCTGCATTGGGGAGAGATGGCTCAAGTGGTTAGAGCGCGAATTTACTGACCGGAAGGTCCGTGGTTTGAACCTGACCTCTGCCCCTCGACTTCCCCTGTCTAGGCTTGGGGTCTAGGCTGGAGGTATCTCATCCCTCGTGTTTCCCTCAGGTGACATGGCAGCTAGACACCGAAAGAGTGTTTTACAGCTGCCACTGTAAGTCCGGTGCAGGGATACGTTTGGTATCCGTCCAGGTAGACTGAAAATATGATCGCCAGCATAATAAATATCAGTGTAAATTTTCCTATTCGGTAATGCAAGTAACACCGTTGGCGTGTCACTCAGACCTAGATGGTTTTCGATGAAACAGTTATTTGACTGAATTGTACCTTTCAGCAATTCAGTTTCTTACACGAGTGTATTTCAGGTACGAGTCGGTATAGCTCTGTGGAATAGAGTTAGTACCAGATCACCATTTTACCGTAACCGACAGAAACCTGTAAAACTTAGATGTCCTCCGGGCTATGTAGGTCTTTGAGAATTGGAACGGGAAGCCTAATGTGACCTAAGTGGGTTTCCAGATAATTGCTCATACTAAGCCACGGTTACAAAAAGAAAGACTTTAGGTAAACGGTGACTGCATACCAAATGAACACGTGATTTTCTGAGAAACATCAATGGGTTTGACGCGAAACCGGCCGTGGACTGTCGAAGAGTTTTCAGCAATCTTGTGAGTAGTTTCTTTTATGAAAATTTACTGCGACATCTCGAATATCGTGCCAACTGAAACATGAGGCAGCCTGTGTGCAGCACATTCAGTTGCAGAATATCATAAACGAGAGATTCAGTTGAGTCACTCGTGAGAACCAAATTGATTTGCACATGAGTGTACTTCTTGAAAACAGTCCAATTTGGGTTCAAGTAGAACATATGGTTAACGGAAACTCGGGGCTACGCCTACCTGATGAGCCCGAAATGGAAGGGTGAAACCGGTCGTGGGGTGTCGAAGAGTTTTCATCAACCTTGTGAGTAGTTTCCTCTATGAAAATTTCATAGGTGCTTTTATAAACCGCTGTTCTGGCGGTTTCAAGAATGTTTACCAGCCATTTGGCGAGTTGACGATAAGGTGGCTCATTCATAGCTGAACGAATGGTTACACTGGGCTTATGAGGCCCAAGAGTCTATAAAGCTGACGTGTATGAATACTGACGGGTTTAAGTGTATTAAACGTAGTCTGATAAGTAAAATCATGTAGTAGAAGAATTTGAAAGTCATGTGTAACTGTTTTCCGGGGCGAGACCATTGGTTGGGGCACGAATTTAGCGATTGGAACGTCCGTGGTTCGAACCCGACCTCTGCCTCTCGACTTCTCCTGTCTAGGCTTGGGCAGTATCCCAGCCCTCGTGTTACAGCTGAACGATTATTTATTTTTATTCCAGTGGTACGCTGTCCGGTTTTCAGGCAGAAATTTTGATTTATCGGCAAAAATTCCGCCTATGTCGACGAGTGATCCACTTTGTTTAGGATGGATGAACAGAAGTCCTCGTTATTTGGGTTCAATTTAGTAATATTCTAGTTTCTCTTTGGCTTCTGTAAAGTTTGTGTTCTTTTGATCGGGCACGTTTCCAAGATATATCCGATGGGAACACAAACGGTTACAGAACTCAATCGGTTTCGCTCTGAACAGGTCTTCATTCTCAGGAGAAGTCAGCCGAAATTCTCTGCAAAAGTGCGGTCAACATTTTTGGATGGGATTTTGAAATTAATTCCTAGTGATACTGCTTCCATTTGTAGCCAACTTGTGCATTATCCCGGGGTCCGACGGAGAGACACTCCTGAGTTTAGCTTTCTCTATGAGTTTCCAAATTTTTTGTACCACTGTGCGTATGTTTTCTGACCTGTAGATAGTCAGTGTTTTTCACGGAGCAGTGGCCTTACCCTTATTCGTCTTGGTAACCACCATACTGTCTACCTGGCATTGGATACTTAAAGTTCTTCGCTCTGCCAAAGCAATATATTTAGCACTTGGTTGCTGGGACTTCAGGACTTTGACCAAATGCATTCGCAGCCTCTTTTGGAGCACGGATTTAATTCTGGGAGTAACTTCTTCCATCTTTATAACACCTTTACTAGCCATGGTTCCCTACTTAACCGTCTACTTGATATATTTGCCACGCTGCAAAATAACGTGCAAAAATAACCAACTCCCACTATTCGCCGATCTTTGCAATGTTATCCTTGGATAGTCTTCTCTCCTGCCACTTTGGTACTGAGTAGCTGGAAACCTAGTGGAGAAAACCTTGCCTGAATATGCACGTTGATGGAAATCAGGTAGTCAAACGCCTTGAATTCTATGTTTGATGAATGGAATGTCGCTGTGAAGACTCTTCAACAGACGGAGGTGATTTGTCCGTTAGCTTAGCAACCTGATATTTAGGAATTATATCGCGCTTTGGGCATCTTTTGTGGAATATGTGATGGTTCCCTTAGTGTGTCTCCAGTCATATGTGGTCATACGAACCGAAAAGAACTTTCAACCGACGTTCAGCGTTATTCGAAACAGATCCTGCCGACTGGTACTCCATATGCATCAAAGCTACCCCACCCGGTAACTTACTCATTTGGAATTTTCTGTGTCGGAATCTGCAATCCATAAATTCGCGGATTATTTAATAGATCCCTCTGAAGCGGTGACTTCTCGATCGGCCTCAAGCTTTAGAATCCACGTGTTATTTGGTGCTACACATCCTATCAATAAAACCAGAGTAGCCTCAAGGTCTCTTTGTGCGCAAAAAAGCCGACTGACTCGATTGATTAATAACCCATCAGGCAACTGTCGCTCTGATTGGCCGGGTCGCGTGAAGGTTTCGAACGATGGTTGGGACTCAAATTTCGTCTTGTCATGATCTATAATGGAAGGTGTGACCTTGGAATCAATTTTCCTCGGGGCAGAGAAGTGAAGAATTCGACTGGACCCGCTTTTCGACTCTGCTGTCATATCCGCTAGTAGTATCACAACTATGGGTGAACGATCAATCCAACTAGCAAAGTTTACACCCTCCCAAACGTATGGATGCTTAGGTTTATGCCAAAGAGGAGAAGTTAGGGTAGTCATTCTTTTCTAAAGGCGTTTTGTTTCTTAAGTTGAGTGCTTTCTTACAAACCCGATAGCTTTTTTCCTTGGATTTTATTGATCACAATGCTCGAGCATTCGAGGTGTCCGGACTGTGAGTACTCTGCTTTCGGTTTGGAGCGGATAAGGGACTCATCCACTTTTCTAAAATTTTAATGTGTTTGATCCAAAGTGGAAGTGAGTGGGTCACACAGATTACCAGATTGCAACCACTTTATCGTATGAACCAACTCAACTTCGTATGAATTAACGACAGAACAAACTGTGAATCGCTTCAAGCCTCCGACAAAGATTTTTGCGTTTGACAGTTGCTGTGATGTCGACCTCTACTCTCTCGACTGGGCAACTTGGCAGCATAATTTCCACTTTATACGCGTTTTTAGGAGTATGAGCAGAGTCGTACTTCAGCGATCATACTTCAGCACAATTAAATTTCAGTGTCCATACGAAAGTGCCAGAGTTAATGACTACTCAGACATACGAGAGTTCGATTTCCATGAAAGATGATGAGATGTAATCTTTCCGGCGTTGCATACAGCCACGAACGCTTTTTTTCTCAATAGATTTTGCACCAGACTGAGTTACTGTTGGAGAGTTTTGTAGGAAAACACCGATGGTAAACGAGGATTCCCCTCGCCCTCGAGAAAACTAAGCTGTTGAATGGAAGGCACAAGCTCCACAGAGTCAAAATTCTAGGCATGATTCTTCTTAGTAAACTATCGACGCGTTTGAAAAAGCCAACAGTTTAATGCTCCTACGGAGTTATCTTCGTCTATTGATCGACAAAGTTCAATTAATTTCAAACAGAACTGACATTTGTTTTATTTTCGACTCTTCATCACGACAAATATGCTATCAGTTTCTCCGAAACGGTAACAATTTACGTGCACAAATCAATTAATTGGTTTATTATTCGCTAATGGATACATCAGTGAGCAATCGTGGGATTCTGTCCATGACCTCATCTCATATTCAACCTCAAAATTTCACCCACAAAGACCACGGTCCCACCAACCACACCCAGGTCTCAAGGTCAACTGGTTAATACGCGATTCTAGTGGTTAAGTTTTGTCAACGACATGCATTCACCAACAGTGTTGTTGCTTTTTCTTTCGCCTTTCGTTACATCGTAGTTTTTAAAGCTTTCCGACCCGAGGAGAAGCTACCGAAACTATATTTTCAGTTGCCATATTGAACTAAAGACCCGTAGACAAGGTCCCACAATCCATAGGCAAATAGAATAAAAGGTGGCGCAGGCTGTCTCTCTCACAGTAAGTAACGCTTGGTCTGTTACATACTGCATTGAGAACTGCTCTTACGTCACATTGCACAACCTGGCACGCCATACTAATCGTCCGAACGAAATCTTAAAAATCTTTGCGTGATGGAGAAATCATTTGGAGACGTTTTCGTTCCCCTCGACCCTGGGTATTGTTCACTGTTGCACTATAGTGGCGCAATCATTTGTTTTTGCTTTTAATGCAAAATGGGGGTGATTACAGCAATAAATGTTCAGCATTTGTATCGCGGCAATGTTTGTTGCTTCGCTGATAATGACTCATACACGCACGTACAAACACGCAGACACACACGCACGCACGCAAGCACGTCCGCATACACGCACGCACACGCACAAACAAACACAATCGTCAAAACACACAACTCTACTCGCTACTCACCACAAACAAACACACACACGCACACGACGCACACACCCGCACTGCGGCACGCACAGCAGATGGATAGACGCATATGCGTACCCAAAAGCACATGCGACACTGTAACCATGTTTTATGAACCCTTAGTGGGAAGGGGAGCAGCTAATGAGGCGTGAAACGGAATGAGCTCTAAGGCGAAAAGATCGCATGGCCGGTTGTTCCAAACTGAAATCCTAAAAGCATCACGGTTAGAAGCATCTCCCAAAAAGGAACAGGGAGGTATTATTTGTTGAACGAACATATTATTTTAGACAAGCGGAGGTGAGATTTCCCTTTGTTTGTTCG